CACCTGGACAGATAATACATGTAGATGGACCACACGTGACACAGTGTGTATACATCAGGCATATATAGACATGTGACACTTCACCTGGACATATAACACATGTAGATGCACCACACGTGACACAGTGTGTATACATAAGGCATATAGACACGTGACACTTCACCTGGACAGATAATACATGTAGATGCACCACACGTGACACAGTGTGTATACATCAGGCATATAGACACGTGGCACTTCACCTGGACAGATAATACATGTAGATGCACCACACGTGACACAGTGTGTATACATAAGGCATATATAGACACGTGACACTTCACCTGGACAGATAATACATGTAGATGCACCACACGTGACAGTGTGTATACCTCAGGCATATAGACACGTGACACTTCACCTGTAGAGATGATACATGTAGATGCACCACACGTGACACAGTGTGTATACATCAGGCATATAGACACGTGACACTTCACCTGTAGAGATGATACATGTAGATGCACCGCACGTGACACAGCGTGTATACATCAGACATATAGACACGTGACACTTCACCTGGACAGATAATACATGTAGATGCACCACACGTGACACAGTGTATACATAAGGCATATAGACACGTGACACTTCACCTGTAGAGATGGTACATGTAGATGCACCACACGTGACACAGTGTGTATACATAAGGCATATAGACACGTGACACTTCACCTGTAGAGATGATACATGTAGATGCACCACACGTGACACAGTCTGTATACATCAGGCATATAGACACGTGACACTTCACCTGGACAGATAATACATGTAGATGGACCACACGTGTCACAGTGTGTATACATAAGGCATATATAGACACGTGCCACTTCACCTGGACAGATAATACATGTACATGGACCACACGTGACACAGTGTGTATACATCAGGTATATAGACACGTGACACTTCACCTGGACAGATAATACATGTAGATGCACCACACGTGACACAGCGTGTATACATCAGGCATATAGACACGTGACACTTCACCTGGACAGACAATACATGTAGATGCACCACAAGTGACACAGTGTGTATACATCAGGCATATATAGACACGTGACACTTCACCTGGACATATAACACATGTAGATGCACCACATGTGACACAGTGTGTATACATAAGGCATATAGACACGTGACACTTCACCTGGACAGATAAAACATGTAGATGCACCACACGTGACACAGTGTGTATACATCAGGCATATAGACACGTGACACTTCACCTGTAGAGATGATACATGTAGATGCACCACACGTGACACAGTCTGTATACATCAGGCATATAGACACGTGACACTTCACCTGGACAGATAATACATGTAGATGGACCACACGTGACACAGTGTGTATACATCAGGTATATAGACACGTGACACTTAACCTGGACAGATAATACATGTAGATGCACCACACGTGACACAGCGTGTATACATCAGGCATATAGACACGTGACACTTCACCTGGACAGACAATACATGTAGATGCACCACAAGTGACACAGTGTGTATACATCAGGCATATATAGACACGTGACACTTCACCTGGACATATAACACATGTAGATGCACCACATGTGACACAGTGTGTATACATAAGGCATATAGACACGTGACACTTCACCTGGACAGATAAAACATGTAGATGCACCACACGTGACACAGTGTGTATACATCAGGCATATAGACACGTGACACTTCACCTGTAGAGATGATACATGTAGATGCACCACACGTGACACAGTCTGTATACATCAGGCATATAGACACGTGACACTTCACCTGGACAGATAATACATGTAGATGGACCACACGTGTCACAGTGTGTATACATAAGGCATATATAGACACGTGCCACTTCACCTGGACAGATAATACATGTACATGGACCACACGTGACACAGTGTGTATACATCAGGTATATAGACACGTGACACTTCACCTGGACAGATAATACATGTAGATGCACCACACGTGACACAGCGTGTATACATCAGGCATATAGACACGTGACACTTCACCTGGACAGACAATACATGTAGATGCACCACAAGTGGCACAGTGTGTATACATCAGGCATATATAGACACGTGACACTTCACCTGGACATATAACACATGTAAATGCACCACACGTGACACAGTGTGTATACATAAGGCATATAGACACGTGACACTTCACCTGGACAGATAAAACATGTAGATGCACCACACGTGACACAGTGTGTATACATCAGGCATATAGACACGTGACACTTCACCTGGACAGAAAATGCATGTAGATGCACCACACGTGACACAGTGTGTATACATCAGGCATATAGACACGTGACACTTCACCTGGACAGATAATACATGTAGATGCACCACACGTGACACAGTGTGTATACATCAGGCATATAGACACGTGACACTTCACCTGGACAGATAATACATGTAGATGGACCACACGTGACACAGTGTGTATACATCAGGCATATATAGACACGTGACACTTCACCTGGACATATAACACATGTAGATGCACCACACGTGACACAGTGTGTATACATAAGGCATATAGACACGTGACACTTCACCTGGACAGATAATACATGTAGATGCACCACACGTGACACAGTGTGTATACATCAGGCATATAGACACGTGGCACTTCACCTGGACAGATAATACATGTAGATGCACCACACGTGACACAGTGTGTATACATAAGGCATATATAGACACGTGACACTTCACCTGGACAGATAATACATGTAGATGCACCACACGTGACAGTGTGTATACCTCAGGCATATAGACACGTGACACTTCACCTGTAGAGATGATACATGTAGATGCACCACACGTGACACAGTGTGTATACATCAGGCATATAGACACGTGACACTTCACCTGTAGAGATGATACATGTAGATGCACCGCACGTGACACAGCGTGTATACATCAGACATATAGACACGTGACACTTCACCTGGACAGATAATACATGTAGATGCACCACACGTGACACAGTGTATACATAAGGCATATAGACACGTGACACTTCACCTGTAGAGATGGTACATGTAGATGCACCACACGTGACACAGTGTGTATACATAAGGCATATAGACACGTGACACTTCACCTGTAGAGATGATACATGTAGATGCACCACACGTGACACAGTCTGTATACATCAGGCATATAGACACGTGACACTTCACCTGGACAGATAATACATGTAGATGGACCACACGTGTCACAGTGTGTATACATAAGGCATATATAGACACGTGCCACTTCACCTGGACAGATAATACATGTACATGGACCACACGTGACACAGTGTGTATACATCAGGTATATAGACACGTGACACTTCACCTGAAGAGATAATACATGTAGATGCACCACACGTGACACAGCGTGTATACATCAGGCATATAGACACGTGACACTTCACCTGGACAGACAATACATGTAGATGCACCACAAGTGACACAGTGTGTATACATCAGGCATATATAGACACGTGACACTTCACCTGGACATATAACACATGTAGATGCACCACATGTGACACAGTGTGTATACATAAGGCATATAGACACGTGACACTTCACCTGGACAGATAAAACATGTAGATGCACCACACGTGACACAGTGTGTATACATCAGGCATATAGACACGTGACACTTCACCTGTAGAGATGATACATGTAGATGCACCACACGTGACACAGTCTGTATACATCAGGCATATAGACACGTGACACTTCACCTGGACAGATAATACATGTAGATGGACCACACGTGTCACAGTGTGTATACATAAGGCATATATAGACACGTGCCACTTCACCTGGACAGATAATACATGTACATGGACCACACGTGACACAGTGTGTATACATCAGGTATATAGACACGTGACACTTCACCTGGACAGATAATACATGTAGATGCACCACACGTGACACAGCGTGTATACATCAGGCATATAGACACGTGACACTTCACCTGGACAGACAATACATGTAGATGCACCACAAGTGGCACAGTGTGTATACATCAGGCATATATAGACACGTGACACTTCACCTGGACATATAACACATGTAGATGCACCACACGTGACACAGTGTGTATACATAAGGCATATAGACACGTGACACTTCACCTGGACAGATAAAACATGTAGATGGACCACACGTGACACAGTGTGTATACATCAGGCATATAGACACGTGACACTTCACCTGGACAGAAAATGCATGTAGATGCACCACACGTGACACAGTGTGTATACATCAGGCATATAGACACGTGACACTTCACCTGGACAGATAATACATGTAGATGGACCACACGTGACACAGTGTGTATACATCAGGCATATAGACACGTGACACTTCACCTGGACAGATAATACATGTAGATGGACCACACGTGACACAGTGTGTATACATCAGGCATATATAGACACGTGACACTTCACCTGGACATATAACACATGTAGATGCACCACACGTGACACAGTGTGTATACATAAGGCATATAGACACGTGACACTTCACCTGGACAGATAATACATGTAGATGCACCACACGTGACACAGTGTGTATACATCAGGCATATAGACACGTGGCACTTCACCTGGACAGATAATACATGTAGATGCACCACACGTGACACAGTGTGTATACATAAGGCATATAGATTCGAACCCACATTCATAGGTTTCTGGCGTGCCCAAGGGACGGAACTGTGCACAGCGAATCGCGGCGCTTTAGACGACTGGGCCACCCACGCCCCCCGACACAGTATGTATACATAAGACATATACATCGTAAGGTGAAAAAATGAATTTTTTTAGGATAATTACTGTTTTTCAAATTAATTGGTAATGTGAATTGAACAAAACAAACTGTATGTATACATTGTATGTAGCCTCAAATAAAATAGGCTATACCTTTGTTTTTTCCACCAGGTTTGTGAGCATGACAATTTTACCACAGTTTTGTTCCCATACCATTCTCCAAAAGTCCTTGAGGGTTTGTTTTTTCGGAGCTGCAATAACATTAAATGACATATTCATTCTTCATCGTTTACATTAAAAATTATATGAAAAACGTAATAATTATTAAATATAATTGTCTCTCACTCACTCACTCACTCAACCTCACCTCACCTCACCTCACCTCACCTCACCTCACCTCACCTCACCTCACCTCTTTTATTGAAAGGTTTCGCAGGTATTCATGTGGGGTATATTAACTTACCCTGAGCTGCTATGTAGCTTTTATCTTTCCTGTACCCCTACAAGGATATGAAAATAACAAAGGGATTAATTTGAAGCGTGGGTGCTTTCATATACAACGCCTATGTAATACGAGGTACTATTCACGCGGATTGTATTCCACTATTACTCGTGATTAATGAAAGCGTAGGTTTCGCAAAGGAAAATGTTGCTGGTGATCGATAACACACAATCTCATTATCATAAGTTCTCATTGATCACTGCAGAAAATATCATGGCATATATTGTTTATCTCCCGCTGAAACGTTAGCGGAATGCTAAGTACCAGGTTAATTATTCTTGTTATACAACTGACACACACCACCGGTAACGTCCAGGTGAGTTGTAAATCTCCTAATCTATGTCATTTCATTCTGATAGAATTGAGTAGAAATTCGATGAATGCAATGTCAATAACAGTTCTACTAGTTGACAATGTTATTAAATTCATCAACTCGTAAGGCCAAGGCAAATGTTCATTGGGCGTCAGCATGTCACTTTAAATCGTAATTTATATTCCCAATGAATCTAATGTCTCTCAATTTCTCTGTCATCCATAACATGAAGACTTTGGCAACTGGCATTGTTTTAAAGAGTTCAGTGTGTGCTTAATTCTGTCTGTTCATATTCTTTGCAGGGAATCAATATTGCTTAAAGTAAACATAAAGTGGTTAGAAAAATACCTACCATTTTCCTCAAGTTTGAGGAAATGTGCCGGAGAAATATTACACGCGTTAACAGAATTGTGAAACGGAACAAACACATCTATGTCATCTGATATAAACGTATTTATATGTGTTGCAAATGAGCAGCGCCCACATTGGATACAGTGAAACTTTCTGTGTGTGGGAACTAACTCGGCACGTCATGTGGGAAGAGAAGGGCAGCGTTACCTTACGTCTCTTAGCGCAGATCCACGAAATGTTTCCCTCTGAACACTACGGACACTGTAGCAGAACTATTGCCTTGACAAATGCCTCCAACACACACCTCCCTACCCCCTACTCGTATAATCAGTCCAGGAAAACCAAGGTGCCCTAATTTCGACAATATTACATATATTCGACTTGCATGCATGAGCACTAAATTACATCATTTCATGCGAGCTATATAGATATATTCTATTCTAATGTTGTCTATATTATATTCTGTATTGACTAGAATACCCAGGTGCGAAGATTCGAAATGGCAACTCCCAGCCACCATACAAAAAGATACATTTTGCTTAGCCCATGGTACTGTTGTTACAGATGCAGACAGTTGTTGGTGATGTAAAACTTACGTTGACGTGACTGGCGTTGATGTAGGTGGAGCCAGGATCTCCGGGAAAGGCGGTCAGAACAACTCGGTTATAGTCATCTACAAGTTTAAGGTCAGTTTGCTCAGTGTTGCTATTTGAGTTGAATGTTTAACATCTACAGTTATATTCATGACACATACACAGAACCTACTGCATTAAGGGAAAACATTTCACAAATAACATCAATGCATCGTTATAAATCGGGAAGTTTCTCTTAACACTTCCAAAGACGGATTTAAAAGGTTAACAAGTTTAAAATCTTTGAAATACCTTTGTAAATACTACCCATTGCGTCTTTTCATAAATCAATGTGTGTACATAAATGTAAGAGGTTGTGTATATTTACAGGGGTATAGTGTACATAAATGTAAGAGGTTGTGTATATTTACAGGGGTATAGTCCGGTAAACTTGTTCTTCCCATTATGCTCCGGCTTCTGCGATACTTCATATGACCCCGTGAACCCGGAAGGTAATTTCTGAATTACAACCAGTGATATATTGTTGTGTATAGCATAAACACAAATGTCTCGTCAGCCAGCTTGCTCATAAACTGAAAACACATGAGAGAAAAGTCTCAATATATTATATTAAGATGTGATAGGGTCCATGCATCTCAAAGGCAAGGCAAGTTTACTGAGACGCTTGTGTTGAGTGACACACACGCTTTTGGCACGTTACGAAAAGAGACGTATGTCCTCTGTGGTATAACAGTGATAACAATCTGTATCGGAGCGTCGTTATAACGTAATACAGATGCTGAATATCTACACTACCTTGTGATTAGTTCCAGATCGAACATCGAAATGCAAGAACACAATTTGAAGATAATATATGTACGTTGTACATGTCAGGTAGGGGGTGAAGCTCGGGTAGAAACAAAATAGACACAAGTATAAGAGAAAGCGTTAGAATTTCATTGTCATTTGACGTCAAACATTACGAAGAGAAAAAAGACGACATTGTCTATTATTTTTTTCGAGGTGCAGTTTTCGAATCCAGATCGTGCTGAAACGTACAGGTGATGGAATAAAAGACGACTAGTTGTCTGTCATATGGACATTGCCTGCTAACTTTCATTACAAACTATTCCCTTTTCAACGTGACCTGGCCAGAAGTTGCATTCAACTCCGGTATAGTTCGAATATGCTGGTAGACGGAAGAGAAAGCAAGTCAACGTCAACGTCAGAGGAATGCACACATGAAGCTACAACACCCTTAGTGTTCACTACCACATATATTCCTTCGCACTTTCTTGCTGACTGACTCTATACTTACAATATCAGTGAAGAGAAAGCAAGTCAGCAAGTCAACGTCAACGTCAGAGGAATGAATACATGAAGCTACAACACCCTTAGTGTTCACTACCACATATATTCTTTCGCACTTTCTTGCTGACTGACTCTATACTTACAATATCAGTGAAGAGAAAGCTTGCAAATGTCCTGCCTGCCCATATTGATATTGAATTCGATTACCGATGAACGATTAAAGCAAACATACACTTGAGTCTGTCTAATAGTATTAAGGAGGCGTTATGACGATGCGATGGACGTAATACTCACCAAGTATTCTGTTTCAAAGCTTCCAGTCTTCTTCATTTGAGCGACGTATGTACCCAGTGTGGAGATGGGGATCTCTGTGCTGGAGGCGGCGTTGGGCGACACAGTCTCCACATCCAAGGACGTCTGTCTCTTCTTCATCTCAGGGAGGGCGTTGTCAGTAGTACGCTTCTTCCCGTTTGTCTTTCGTGTTTCCTCTGTTTCTTCTTTTCATATTAATTCAAAAGGAATTACCACATGGAATATTTACAAACATACCATGCAAAGCGGTAGATGTACCGAACGGCCGCCATGTATAATGTTACATGACGCGATTACCTGTGTACTGTCATATCATAACAAGCGAGGAGTGACATGTGTGGCATGTATAATGTTACATGACGCGATTGCATGTGTACTGTCATATCATAACAAGCGAGGAGTGACATGTGTGGCATGTATAATGTTACATGACGCGATTGCATGTGTACTGTCATATCATAACAAGCGAGGAGTGACATGTGTGGCATGTATAATGTTACATGACGCGATTACATGTGTACATGAATGACATGTGTGGCATGTATAATGTTACATGACGCGATTACCTGTGTACTGTCATATCCTAACAAGCGAGGAATGACATGTGTGGCATGTATAGTGTTACATGATGCGATTACATGTGTACTGTCATATCCTAACAAGCGAGGAATGACATGTGTGGCATGTATAATGTTACATGACGCGATTACATGTGTACTGTCATATCATAACAAGCGAGGAGTGACATGTGTGGCATGTATAATGTTACATGACGCGATTACATGTGTACTGTCATATCATAACAAGCGAGGAGTGACATGTGTGGCATGTATAATGTTACATGACGCGATTACATGTGTACTGTCATATCATAACAAGCGAGGAGTGACATGTGTGGCATGTATAATGTTACATGACGCGATTACATGTGTACTGTCATATCATAACAAGCGAGGAGTGACATGTGTGGCATGTATAATGTTACATGACGCGATTACATGTGTACTGTCATATCATAACAAGCGAGGAGTGACATGTGTGGCATGTATAATGTTACATGACGCGATTACATGTGTACTGTCATATCATAACAAGCGAGGAGTGACATGTGTGGCATGTATAATGTTACATGACGCGATTACATGTGTACTGTCATATCATAACAAGCGAGGAGTGACATGTGTGGCATGTATAATGTTACATGACGCGATTACATGTGTACTGTCATATCATAACAAGCGAGGAGTGACATGTGTGGCATGTATAATGTTACATGACGCGATTACATGTGTACTGTCATATCATAACAAGCGAGGAGTGACATGTGTGGCATGTATAATGTTACATGACGCGATTACATGTGTACTGTCATATCATAACAAGCGAGGAGTGACATGTGTGGCATGTATAATGTTACATGACGCGATTACATGTGTACTGTCATATCATAACAAGCGAGGAGTGACATGTGTGGCATGTATAATGTTACATGACGCGATTACATGTGTACTGTCATATCATAACAAGCGAGGAGTGACATGTGTGGCAACTCTATGCTCCATGCTCTTTTCCATTCTGCTTCTCTCTCCTACTTTCCCCGACTTCCTCCAACATCTCCCTAAAAGTAGCATTCTCCACACCCTTTTCTTGCACGGTCACTCCCTCTCTCCAAAACTATCATTTAACCAGCTCTTACACACTTTGTTTCATTCTTCGTCACTCTCTCGCACTCACCTCCGCTCTCCCACATTCACATACATCCTCCCACATTCACCTACAGCCTCCAACATTCACCTACGCTCTCCCACGCTCACCTTCACTGCCCCACGCTCACCTACACTCTCCCATATTCACCTACACCCTCCAACATTCATCTACGCTCTCCCACTATCTCTTACACCCCCACTCTCTCCCACGCTCACCTACTCTCTCCCACGCTCATCTACACTCTCCCACTGTCTCCTACCTTCTCTGTCCCACTGTCTCCTACACTCTCCCACGCTCACCTACCTTCTCTGTCCCACTGTCTCCTACCCTCTCCCACGCTCACCTACCTTTATCTGTCCCACTGTCTCCTACCCTCTCCCACGCTCACCTACCTTTATCTGTCCCACTGTCTCCTACCCTCTTCCACGCTCACCTACACTCTCCCACTGTCTCTTACCCTCTCCCACGCTCACCTTCACACTCCCACTGTCTTTTAAATACTCTCACTCTCACCTACACTCTCCCACGCTCACCTATGCTCTCCCACATTCCCCTTCACTATCCCACGTCCTTTCATACTCACCCACATTTTCCCAAACTCACCAACGCTCTCCTACTCTCTCCCACACTCACCTACTCTCTTCCAATCTCACCCTCACTTTCCCGCTCTCGCCAACGTTCTCCAACTCCCTCCTACATGTACGCTCTCCCACACTCACCTACTCTCTTCCAATCTCACCCTCACTTTCCCACTCTCGCCAACGTTCTCGAACTCCCTCCTACATGTACACTCTCCCACACTCACCTACTCTCTCCAACACTCACCTACCCTCTCCCACTGTCTCCTACCCTCTCCCACGCTCACCTTCACTCTCCCACTGTCTTCTAAATTCTCCCACACTCACCTACACTCTCCAACGCTCACATATGCTCTCCCACCCTCCCCTACACTATCCCACGCTCTCTCATACTCACCCACGCTCTCCAACTCCCTTCTACACTCTCCCACACTCACCTACACTTTCCCGCTCTCGCCAACGCTCTACAACTCCCTGCTACGCTCTCCCACACTCACCTACACTTTCCCACTCTCGCTAACGCTCTCCAGCTCCCTTCTACATTCTCCCACACTCGCCTACACTCTCCCACACTCGCCTACACTCTCCCACACTCGCCAACGCTCTCCAACTCCCTCCTACTCTCTCCAACACCCACTCACATTCTTACCTGCTTCTGTCTCCTTACGTCCACTACCTCCACATATTTCCAGACAAATTGACACATTCCTACACACAGCTTTACATTAATACATAACTACTCCCAGCAGACAACTATACATTTCCACACTCACTTGTTTTTGACATTCACAAATGCATACAAACAGGAGTATTTCAACGTCTCCATAGACACATCTATATTGGTTTGGAATGTCACAATGCACTACCTCCAGCACCAACAGGTAGAACTGTCCTTGGGCGAGACACGTTCTCGTAGATTGCCCCAGTGTCTGAGAAGAAATGTCGTTGTCGACGTCTCCTGAAGAAGGAACATAACACTGATGTCAGGAAACGGTATGTGTGTGCATGATTGGTATAACTTGACAAGCATGCGTATTGATTTTGTCCAGAATAAAGAATGGAAAGTCATCTATTTAAGTGTCTTCCTTATCCATCGGAGCATTTATACCGAATTTACCAAGATAATTCTGGTCGATTAGCTTGATAAAAGAATGTTGATATGGTGTCGGGAAATGTATTCTTTCAATGGTTAACGAATAGAGACAAGTTGGATGGCCGTGGTTGGCGGTTCGGTACAACACGGTTTAAAGAATATATATTAATATATGTTAAGCGTCATTTGTTTCAGAAACACCAAAAAGAAATTGTTCAATGTTGGATGTTGTGAACAAAAAAATGTTGTTGGAAAATGATTGTATGGGACTATATGTATATCTCGTGAAGATGACTTCTTCGCTTTGGTCTGTTTTGTATAGTTCGTGTATGTACTGTATTCAAGGTTCCAGTCAATAATGTATGGTATTTTGTACAATACAATAATGTATGGTATGGTATATTAGTGACATCTTTGCTGTCAGAAATCCTGTACATTCTTTTTCCTCGCTTTTCCCCGATAATGTAACAACTTCCTGGTGACTCAACTTGCTTTCCGATATATATTCTGATATCAAAGCCACTACGCGTTCACGGGACAGATTGAAACTATTGTTTCGTGAACTCTCTAAGGGTTGACTTTCGAAAATGGGATACTAATCCTAATTCCCAACAAGGTTTAATTTTTGTCTTTCACTGACCTTGATTCTAGCTTGGAGGGACATAACATACTCTTCTACATGTTAAAGTTTTCCTTGGACGTTTTCCAGTCCATGTTGCTATTGAACTCCATAAAGACATTGGAGTATGAAACTTCATAGAGGGAGGGCCAAACGAGGGATTTTATAGGATGTATACTCAACTCTGTTTAGTACGTGCGACTTCATGTTTTTTACTGACAACAACCTATATTTCGCGTAATAAATACAGATGGAATGGAATAAAGGGGAAAAAAGACGCATGCCGTGTAAACGTCACATTCACAACATAGTTCACTATGATTCCTATGATACCATCATCTAAAACAAACTCTGCGACAGAATGGAAACCTGCCATAACTCGGCGCCCTTTACATGTGCAATAACTGAAGCCTCACATGAGTATAGCACATGGATTACTATGAACGGCTAAATACAAGTCATGTTCTGAAAACAGCGCACCTCTTCCAAACAGTTTGTGAGTGAAGTGATTGTGTTTTACGCCGCTTTCGGCAATATCATGGTGTGAAACACCAGGATGGGTTTCACACACTGTACCCAGGATGGGAATAGAACTCGGGCTATCAACATGACAGGAGACCATTTAACCACTTGTCTACCCCCACCGCAACATATGTCTGGATAGAGCTGCACCATGCGTGAAATTCATTGTGTTAGACTTGTTAATGAGAATAGTTATGAACAGGAAAATTGCAACAGCTATGAAAGTCTCTTGTTAACGATAAACAGATTACGTGACTGACAGTTTATCCTTTAAAGTGAGGTTTTCCATGCACTTCAGGATATATGATATCCTTATCCAATCCAAATAAAACTACCCGCTAGTGCGTATTACATGCACATGTGGGTAGATACCAAACGAGAATTATGAAACACCCGAATAAACTTGGTTTTACTAACAAAATTATGGACTGCTGAACAAATATTTACAACTTCGGAGCAGCATTATAGATGTTCATGGATTATTTGGTTTATGTTTAATTGCAAAAGAAACTGTACATAAATTATGTTCTATCCAAGAAATACAAGACTAAAGCAACCAGTTGCTACTTGCTGCTCAACTGCACCATCTAATGTATGAAGTGTTTCAAAAGCTTCGAGTAACGTACATATTTCGGGTCAGCTTAAAGGGTATTACTATTCAAGTAAAGCGTTTTCCGGAAGCAGTTTCCAGGGGACAAAAACTCAAGAATTAAAATATCTATAGTCCTATGTAAATCAGGAAAAGTGTCATATACTCTGACTTACCTCCGCAACAACAATACAATGACAACGATGATGGTGATGATGATGACTACAACGCCAACTCCCCCAACACAGCCGGCAATAATGGCCTCGATCATGCCTACAATAGAAGGCTGCAGTTATACATCCATTGTATGTGAGTATGGTGGGGGGGTAGTGAAAACATGTGTGCAGTGAAATAGTATCGTTACAACGTGACAATGATAATTAGTGATGCCTGTGAATGATCGAGTCTGATTCAGGCAAACCAGTGGCTGATGGCATGATGACATTCAGTCAGTCGAGAGACTTATTCAGTTGACTGATACAACAAGCATGGGCTAATCAAGCAGCCTTATTCACAACAAAGTGTTCGTACAACCTGGTTGTCGTGCAACATGACAAATTAATTTCTCAAACATAAATCTAACATACTGTCCTTTAATTTTAAAGAATTCAAACAGAATAAACGTCTCCCCGCCGAGCCGTAATCGTGTACTTTGCCCACTCAGTGAGGTGCGGGAGGAAAATTTGAAAGTATTTTTCTATAATCGCAAGCCAATAAGTATGTTGATCCAAAGGTCACTCGTAATTACCTTCTCCTCACCATACTCCCCGTGCCATGTAAAGCGAACTCACCAAAAGAAAGTGGTTTCACCTTCAATCTATACACAACTGCAACATATTCCACAAAGTTGAACATTGGTATTTAAACCACTTTGGTGCACTTTTAAACAACATTACAGACAGCCGCAGAATATAGGCAGCTGCTGATTAGAACGTAGAATATCCCGAAACGTGTGTGAAGAAGACAAAATTGCAGTCCATTGATCTGGTGCATCAACGTAGAGACATCGAAATGCCTATGAGAGGTGTGAGTGAGTGAGTGTTTAGCAATATTCCAGCAATACCACGGCAAGGAGACACCAAAAATGGGCTTCACACATTGTACCCATGTCGGGAATCGAACCCGGGTTTTCCGTGTGACACTTTAACCACTGACTATCCGACCGCCCCTGAGAGGTCTGACGATGAAAAAAGTGTTGAATGTGAATACAACTATAGATTAACACTAATATACGTCAACACACCTATTGACAATCAAGCAGGAAGTAAGGAATTCAGGTCGGGCAAGCTTATGAACACATACATTGCTTACTACAGTGTATTCTGAATCATACGTTTCGGTATCACACAAACAGAAACATGCTTTGTACCTACCCAGAGCTGTACACGGCTGCCATACAACAAGAAGGGCGGTAAGGCAGAGTGTGTTCGAGGACTGCAAGACAGCCATGTTAGACACCGCGACAAGGAAGAAAATAGGTTCCAGGTATGTCATGCGTGTGTAAACAAACCTGGTGACTGAAACGACAGCGAGTGTATGCATTGGTGGTTACTGACAGCTCAGTCGTTAATGGCGCAATGATTAAACTTGTCGAGGCACATGAATGTCGCTTTGTGATGGCTGAGTTAGATTTGAGAAAACATTCTGAATTCTAATGGGTTTGTAAAGAGTTATGTTATTCTTTGTCTTTTGTAAACATTGTTTGTGTGTTTGTTTGTTTGATTGTTTGTTTAACGCCGCAACCACCAATAATCCAGCTGTATGACGGCGTTTGTAAACATTGCATATCAATGGGTGTGTTTGTATAGTAATCAATATCACTTATCAATCACTGGTTGATAATACACATAAGAGAAGCATTGCTAGTAGTTGTGTTGATATTTGTATTCGTTTACACAACTGTAACAATCTATTATTTACTTTTAGCTCTTCAGTCTTGTCCCTGTCGCGTCCGCGTGTCAAGTTATATGTGAAGAGCTTACTGAGGAGAATCGGTTGGCCACTATGTATGACCTGGCTGAGTGTCACCGCGACCTGTGACCATTGTTCAATACTGCGTGCCTGATTCAGACTGGGTAATGTATTGACAGCCCCTGGCTTGAATATTGCTGAGTGCGGCGTTTCACAGCATTCAATCACTCATGATAATCCTGTTCCAGTGTGTAAGTAAGGAGGTAGGGTTTTACGCCGGTTTTGACAATATTCAAGCGATATCACGACGGAGGACACGAGGAGTAGGCTTCACACAGTGTACCCTTTGTGGATTTGAACCCTGGGCATCGGCATGATGAGCGACCGCGTAAGCCACTAGGCTAACCCAACCCCTCTGCCTCAGTGAATATATACTCAACATTGGTAGGCCTATGATTTGATTATGATTATGATATGATTGGTAAGCCTTAGTACATGTAGTCACATACACTCCTGATAGATCATATCGCTACGGACGCTTTGTGGGTCGGGCGCCTGCTCCAGTGAGTGAGTGAGTTAGTGAGTACAGTTTACGCAGCGTGACGACAACACTGAGCGACCTCACTGCACCCTGCCCCAGTGAATGTATTCCCGCATGGGAACCTGCACCAGGACGCACACATGCTTTGAACTGTAAACAGTCAAACCAGGAAGCTATAATGCAAATTGATTTCATGCTACAGACAGAACGGACAAGCAATTGTTGGTATGTTCTGAGTCGCCTCAGTCTTGATATATATACATATTGAGTCCAAGCATTGCAACATGAATGCTTAGGCCTGGGCGTTTTGATTCGGCGGATTTCAATAGCTGTACAGTGCGGGTTATTTTACATTTCATTAAATGTAGATTTCAACACTGTCAAGCACATATTGTGTGTGTGTGTGTGTGTGTGTGTGTGTGTGTGTGTGTGTGTGTGTGTGTTTGTCTGTGTCTGTGTCTGTGTGTCTGTGTGTCTGTGTGTATGTGTGCTCTCATTTCGAGTTGATGCATATTTTATCATAACTATTTTGGTGAAGTGCAATTAATACATTTTTCACCGTAAATAATACATAGCACATACTTATATAATACAAAACACATACTTATATAATACATAGCACGTTCTTTTGTAATACATAAAACATACTTATATAATAGATAAAACATACTTATATAATACATAACACATACTTATATAATACATAACATACTTATAAAATCATAGCACATACTTATATAATACATAACACATACTTATATAATGCATAACACATACTTATATAATGCATAACACATACTTATATAACCATAACATATACTTATATTATACATAAAACATACTTATATAATACATAACACATACTTATATAATACATAACACATACTTGTATAATACATAACACATACTCATGTAATCATAAACATTCATCGCTGTTCAGAAAGCATAATAATAGTAAGTAATACAGAGCATCACTGTGGATCACCAACGAGGTGGAATTTCCTCAATTCTGTGGAATGTGGAACGTGGGAACTAGATAGACAACAGTAGGAACTAGATAGACAGTAGGAACTAGATATACAACAGTAGGAACTAGATAGACAACAGTAGGAACTAGATAGACAGTAGGAACTAGATAGACAGTAGGAACTAGATAGACAACAGTAGGAACTAGATAGACAAGAGTATGAACTAGACATACAACAGTAGGAACTAGATAGACAACAGTAGGAACTAGATAGACAGTAGGAACTAGATAGACAACAGTAGTAACTAGATAGACAACAGTAGGAACTAGATAGACAGTAGGAACTAGATAGACAACAGTAGGAACTAGATAGACAGTAGGAACTAGATATACAACAGTAGGAACTAGATATACAACAGTAGGAACTAGATACACAACAGTAGGGACAAGATAGACAACAGTAGGAACTAGATAGACAGTAGGAACTAGATAGACAACAGTAGGAACTAGATAGACAACAGTAGCAACTAGATAGACAATAGTAGGAACTAGATAGACAGTAGGAACTAGATAGACAACAGTAGGAACTAGATAGACAGTAGGAACTAGATAGACAACAGTAGGAACTAGATAGACAACAGTAGGAACTAGACAGACAATAGTAGGAACTAGATAGACAACAGTAGGAACTAGATAGACAGTAGGAACTAGATAGACAGTAGGAACTAGATAGACAACAGTAGGAACTAGATAGACAACAGTATGAACTAGACAGACAACAGTAGGAACTAGATAGACAACAGTAGGAACTGGATAGACAGTAGGAACTAGATAGACAACAGTAGGAACTAGATAGACAACCGTAGGAACTAGATGAACAGTAGGAACTAGATAGACAGTAGGAACTAGATAGACAACAGTAGGAACTAGATAGACAACAGTAGGAACTAGATAGACAACAGTAGAAACAAGATAGACAACAGTAGGAACTAGATAGACAGTAGGAACTAGATAGACAACAGTAGGAACTAGATAGACAATAGTAGGAACTAGATAGACAATAGTAGGAACTAGATAGACAACAGTAGGAACTAGATAGACAAGAGTATGAACTAGACATACAACAGTAGGAACTAGATAGACAACAGTAGGAACTAGATAGACAACAGTAAGAACTAGATAGACAGTAGGAACTAGATAGACAGTAGGAACTAGATAGACAGTAAGAACTAGATAGACAGTAGGAACTAGATAGACAGTAGGAACTAGATAGACAACAGTAGGAACTAGATAGACAACAGTACGAACTAGACAGACAACAGTAGGAACTAGATAGACAACAGTAGGAACTAGATAGACAGTAGGAACTAGATAGACAGTAGGAACTAGATAGACAGTAAGAACTAGATAGACAGTAGGAACTAGATAGACAGTAGGAACTAGATAGACAACAGTAGGAACTAGACAGACAACAGTAGGAACTAGATAGACAACAGTAGGAACTAGATAGACAACAGTAGGAACTAAATAGACAACAGTAAGAACTAGATAGACAGTAGGAACTAGATAGACAGTAGCAACTAGATAGACAGTAGGAACTAGATAGACAACAGTAGGAACTAGATAGACAACAGTAGGAACTAGATAGACAACAGTAGGAACTAGATAGACAACAGTAGGAACTAGATAGACAACAGTAAGAACTAGATAGACAGTAGGAACTAGATAGACAGTAGGAACTAGATAGATAACAGTAGGAACTAGATAGACAGTAGGAACTAGATAGACAACAGTAAGAACTAGATAGACAACAGTAGGAACTAGATAGACAGTAGGAACTAGATAGATAACAGTAGGAACTAGATAGACAACAGTAGGAACTAGATAGACAGTAGGAACTAGATAGACAGTAGGAACTAGATAGACAACAGTAGGAACTAGATAGACAACAGTAGGAACTAGATAGACAACAGTAGGAACTAGATAGACAACAGTAGGAACTAGATAGACAACAGTAGGAACTAGATAGACAACAGTAGGAACTGGAAAGACAACAGTAGGAACTAGATAGACAGTAGGAACTAGATAGACAACAGTAGGAACTAGATAGATAACAGTAGGAACTAGACAGACAACAGTAGAAACTAGATAGACAACAGCAGGAGTGCCTGATCGAGGTTCTGTTATGAGAACATGTTAAATGTATAGCAAACTATAATAACCAAATAAGATCAGCCATTATATCTTTATCGCACAGAATATTTAGATGATAACAAATTCATGCTTTTAAAAAAGAATGGAACTATATGAAGTATAATTCAAAGCATAATACATCCCACATACTGTTGAGCTCTTCTTGGTGAATGGCTATAACGAATCTCGTGTCACGTGGGATAGTGGTCAGCTGATTACGTTAAAACGTTCTATGGTAGACATGTGGAGGACACTTTCGATTCCGATGCATTAGTGACATACATGATTTCCAATGCCATTCCCTAGTTTCTCTTGTACCATATCTTCCCGGGTTTTGCTTAAGGTAAACTTGACTTGCCCTTGGGCAGGGTACATTAGGCGAACACCTGCAGCTGGTGTCAATGTATTTGATAGTGATTCATAAACACATTGTTATGATAAAGTCAAATTGTACAAAGGTCTCTTCTGTTAGTCGCAAGTTAATTCTATCATGAATGAAAATGTTTGTCGCTGTATATTAGAGCGTTAATGTGCACATATATAGAGTCCATTGTACGATTGTATAAGCAAATCTATGTATATATATTTATCGTACCTCCATGTCAAAATGATAAGATCTGTTGGACACGTAATCTTGATAAAATACTGTGTATCCCGCCTTGGGGGGGTATACATTTCTCAGCGGGGAAATAAATCTCTTATACTCTGCCCCGAGCTACTCAGGCTGCACGTGGATTTCTGAGAGGCAGAATAAATCCCTTGTACCCCGGTCCAAAGCAAAAAGCCGCAAGCTTTTTGCGGAGTTAATGGCGCACGTGACATAGTGCAAGCTAACCTCAGATCAATCGAGCAGCTGATTGCCATTAATTTGAAATTTGTTTGAATTCTTTTACAATATCATATTAAAATATGTCAGTAAGATATATTCGCTGTA